TGATTGTGATTGTAGCAGTATCCGCGTTCATCTGGCGCAATTATAAGGGCTTTACCTTATGTCGGTAAAAAGAGGAACGTTCGACCAATTCTCTCCCTAATGGCAGTGGTTATCAAGCCATTTTTGGCAGTGAAGAGGCAAGGGTCTGATTTCGGCGGTCCATAAAGCACGGGTAAAAAAAGCCTTGTTTTTGAAAGGTCTAATCGTCTAGTTAGCACAGATTTTAATTTTTTCCATAAAAAAAGAATTTGATTCGCGAAGTCAGATTGTTTAAGCGTTTTACACTTTGTATAACGAGTTCTCAGTTACCTTAATATTACACCTGTAAACAATAAATTTCGTAGATAGAAAATACTTTTTGGAGAAAATCTCAAAAAGAACAAAATGGCTCCTTGGAATGGGGGTAGAGCTTTTTTGATACGCATAGCCATATTTTCCACTGGTGTTTATTTTCAACAAATCATGTTCGTCTGTAATAAAAACCATCAAGTTCATTTAATTAACTGAATTGTTTAAGTAAATTAGTAACATCGTGAAAAGATTTTCGCGAGAGCGGATTCGCCCCGACGAACAGCTGCCACTGGAAACGTCAGCGGTTAAATCGTTTAGATCGTAACTTGACTTTCGCGACTCAGTCGATAAAACGGAAAAAAATAAAACAAGTTTTCAGTGGTGTTTTACTCTCCCATAGCAGGCACCAAAGCCTCCTTCTGAGGCCAATTCGCGCTTTCCGAGTGAGCGGAGGAGACTTGGAACCGAGCGGGAATTCTCCCGACAAGCTTGACAAGTGACGTCACGTTCAAAATCGCCGAGGACGAGGACGACTGGAAACGAGGCTGGCAGCACCACAAACTGGACCACATCTTCATGTAAAACTTACTCCTCCATTCATTCGTAATAAAAAAAATATTACAATGCTATGTTTCGCAGAATATCCTTGGGGGTGCAATAAGCACCAGTAATCACATGACATTATTATTTCTATTCTTTTTCTCAACTTCGGGGTCCTTGAAAGGGGGAGGAACGTAGAATGTAAAAGCTTTTAAGCAGCCAATTTCTCGCGAACGTAAAATCATGCAAAATGAGTAATGATATGTTTTTTTTTGTTAATAACGAGCTGAAATTGTGTTGGGACACTCTCATGAGAAATCTCTGCCGCGGAACCCTGAACAAACTTCTTTTGTAATGCATTAACAGAAGACGAAAGGGTCCCAACCAGACAATAACACGTTTTGGGGAATAAAAATGTTTTAGATTGACAAAATCCTCGCTGTCACACTGGAAGAAGAAGGTGTCAACTTATGAAATACAACTTCATTAAACTGACTGATAAACTGATTAGGCCATTTCCGAGTTCCAAAAACCGTTAACTTCAAAACGAGGCTAAGTGCAAAACCTTTCTTGTGAAAATGAGTTTTATTTGAATGAGAATAAAAATCGTTTTCATACCAATGGCTTCGCACTTAGCCTCGCCTTAAAACAGAGGCTTAAGGCAACTCGGAAATGGTTTATTTGCTTTCGGAAGAGATTCAATCGCTGACTTTTCGAGTGTCAGCTTGTTGACTGATGACTCTGATGATCTTCAGCTTTGAATTTCCTTACGAACAGAAGTTTTCTTTATCAACTCAGTTGAACAAATTGACTTTTTTTCACCCCCACCACCGCCGATATTCTTCGTTTTGTTGTGTTTTTCGTTTTTTGTTTAAAGAAATTTACATAAAGAGCTTAGTTCCCAAGGGTGGAAAACGCTTTTGTTCTTATCAGCTAAGATGGCCGCTGTGAAGACAGGTCTTTATTGTAAGTGAGGGGGAAAGGAATTAGTTTGGAGAATAGAAACGAGCCTTGTCTGCCTCTTATATAAAGATACCCTGGGAACGAGTTTGACTTAGAGTTAAACTTACCTTGTACCCAGATCTCTCACGGCCAATTTTGACCATTAGTCACGTTGAGATCGGGGTCCGAGATCAAAGTCAAAGAAAATGACTCGAACGAGAGGGACCAACTCTAGGTGTCCGTTTTTGAGAAGTGTCTGTCTTAGACGCGTCGAGTAAGGGAGATTTGACTGTCCTAAGGTATACACTCCACTGTCTCGCAAAGGGAGAAATTATAGGTGGCATAAGACTCAATGTGTGATCAGAGTGACATTACCCGGTATTTCAGTTTACAGTCAACTCTTGCTTTTCCGATAGCTCGCTATCACGGCAGCAGCAAAATTCCCAGCAAAACTAACGGACATTTGACTGAACCAATCCCGTTATTACGGACTTTTTTCGCTATTACAGTCCTACAATCTTGGTCTTACTCTCGTTACGACGGACGCCGTGAGGCATCTTTTAACATTCAGACATGAATAAAGTATTTTATCCTTTTTTATAATTGCTTTTGCCCTTTTTTTCCGATTCTCCTGTTACTCATCAATCGAAGTTGTTGTTAATGTATATACCTATTACTCCTATGGCTGTCCAATGCAAATGTTATACAGTGAAACCTCTATTAAGCGGACACCTTCGGGACCTTCCCAAGTTCCGCTTAATAACGGTTGTTAAAATTGCGCAATGCTTGTTAAGGATCAACATTCAACGGTTACTCTGTACTGTAGAGTTCAAGTTCAATACCTTTCATTACAAACTTTAATTTGTTTGTAAATGTAAAAACACTAACTGACTTCAGTTTATATTTCAAGGACGTAATCCAATAATACTATTGTCAATTCAGTCCGGTGTCCGCTTAATAGAGGTTTTTAACAATAGAAATTAGCCAAATACAACTTATTTTATTGTCCGCGTCCCCTTAATAGAGGTGTCCGCTGAATAGGGGTTCGTTAGTGTCCTCTTAATAGAGAGTGTCCGCTTAATTGTCCGCTTAATAGAGGTTTCACTGTATGTGGAATTCAGATGTTATTTTTACTGTAGACGGCCATCACGAAGTCTTGCTATTAAGGGCACTTATTTGCGTCCTGAAGGATGTCGTGCCCCCAATAACGGACTTTACGGTACCTAAAACCCGTATTCTCTCCAAGCCCCGTTGTTAAAACGTTGGATAGCACTATCCACTGGATATATTACTATTCAGCTGATGGGAAACCAATTGTGTTACCCACTAGATAGAGATTTATCCAGTGGATAGTGTTATTGACCTTTCTTGCGAACAGACGAGTTATTTTGGGCTCTACTGAATGATGAGAGATGCCAACCTCTAGAGATCTAAATCTGGGGAATCTCTCTTTGCCATTACCTCACCGGAAATTCAATCAACCCCCACCCCTCCCCCTCCCCAACCCCGACAAATGTGGGACATTATCTGAAGTCTTACATGAAGTACATACTACCAAAATTCGCGATCATCGTTTTAATTTGACGCCAGAAATAATCTTTGTCAGTGACTAAACAGGTGCAAAAATGCCCCAGAAACCGTACTACGAATAACAAAATGTAAAGTTTTGGGCTAAAATAGGCTAAATCTCAAACTAAGGCACAGAACAGCTCAAAAGATGATTTTATTCGGGAGATATGGTGACCCGTACGGGAGACCGGCAGAGTTGGCATGTATGCTGCATTACGCTTTTGTTCGTCATTCTAGTCGAAACAAACAAAAATCAACATCTTCTAAACACTGACACTCATGCCCATAGGTACCATGATCAATCTGACTGTCGTCTCGACTCCTCTTGCTGTCAATGTGTCTCTTAGTCATTTGTTCCCCAAACGGCACAAGTTAGATTTAAGTGTTCGGTAGGGACTTGAGCTATCGGTTTCAGCTTTTACAGCTTTAGATAGTTCGTCTTGAGGTATTGGCTAACATGCACGCATGTTTATACCGAGACGGTAATTACAATAGACCTTTTTAGCTTGTAAGCTTTGTTTACCCATTGTAGACCATGTGATGTTACCTCAGAGACTGTTCCTTTCAAATGTTGCGCTATACACGCGCACATGCACGCATAACTTACTGTGCTTTTCAAAAACACGCGAACTCCGAAGTTCAAAAGCCAACTGACGTTTGCAATACGTTGTTTGCTCCCGCCAATCATCTTAGCGGACCTCTTAGGAAACAGAACTTTACTTATACGGGTTCAAAAGGTCATGGTTTGTGATCTGTGATTGGTAGATTTCGATCCGTTTTGTGTTTCTGTTTTCTTTTTCGTCCGTTGCTTGTGATCGTAATTATGATTGACGGCAGCGAAAAACGCAATTGTGAAGGCGGCTTTTGAACTTTAGAGTTAGTAGCGCAGTAAGCGGCAGTAAAAGGCATCCTTTGAGAACGTAACGTGGTCTAAATTGGGAAAATAAGACCTTAGAGCTAATAAGGTAGGTCGACGCATGGCTTGCAATCACGTGACAAGGCAGCTGTGTTGGCAGACAAAGGAAACCCTTCTGTTTTTGTCCACCAGCATGGCCGCCATGAAGTTAGTCAACCGAGAACGTACTACAAAAGTACGAAACGTTTGTGGTTCAGACTAAATAAACACTGCCACTCATAGTTTCTTCCATTTCTCCATTTATTTGTTTTAAACTAAAAAATCAAGAGCTACGGTAATCAGCAATAAAAACTAGCGATTGCGCCAAACAAGCTGCAGTTATCTCTCACGATGGCCTCATAAGCGCCTTCCTCCTACTGTTCACCTCTTTCATGAGTTACGGTTCAGTCAATTTAGATGCAAATAGCTTCTTTTTATCGCCATTCTCAATGAGACGGACCATCATGTTTAAGGGAAAACAGGAAAAGGCAAGCGAAGAGTTGTTCACGGTGAGTGTTGCAAAAAAAGTGATTGATAATTTTTTATCATTTTTTTTTGTTGACAAATTAAATACATTAACAATCAGTTGTCCATTTCTGACGTATTCCGTCACGATTACCCTTTAGGCCTTCACGATTAACGACGCTAACCAAAGACGAGAAACAGAACTTACTCAAAGAGGCAACAGAACCGTTGGAGAAAAAGCATGAAAATTTATCCGCAAACGTTTCTGAATTAAAATTTTTAGCACAGAAACGTCAACCTTTCTTATTCTGATCTTTCTGCATTTCACAAAAATCAAAAGCTGGAGACTGACTCGAAAACTCCATAGTGACTTCAGTCTCAGAGCTCAATTACAGGCTTAATGTGTGTCCTCTTTTTATAGATACTTTAATAATTCATGTAACCGACAAGCAAGGGCAAGCGTAGCTTATGTATTCAACTCTCTGATTTGACTGATTTCAGTGCGATCCCTACCTGGGGTGAGTTGTTCGTAGACTGGGTAACCCTTTTCTTTTCAGAGCTGTGGATGTGGAGTCTTGGGAGGTGGTTCTAATTTTTGAGTCTGTGGACAAAACCCCTTGATGTAACTAATCAAATAAATCGTTTTGGGCAGTACTTTCAAGCAGGAAAATTTGTTTTCCAGCGTTTGACAAAATATATAAAACGAATTTCTCGCTTGAAAGTTCATGAATCAGTCGTTTTAATTGTTTTTATGCCGATTTTTTGCAATCCTGAATGGAACATGACATTTATATATTTATTCGCACTTTTGCTTTTCAGCTGAAGCTATATTTTCAATCATCCTTACAACAACTTTAGTCTATGTTAACACCATACCGGATAGGTTTTTTTTAAGTGACACGACAAGCTTCCGGTATGATATGAATACCTATCCGTTATGTGACGCTCCACTTTAGAGATCGGCGAGACGCAGCTTCGCTCCTTTAAGTTAATGTTACACGAGACGATTCGCAACGACGATTTACTTTTAGCGCAACACGGCGTTGCAACATTGTTGCGACATTGTTTCGAATGGTTACAACATTGTTCAAACATTGAAGCGCTGTTTTGTGCTAAAAATCGTCGTTGCGAATCGTCCCGTGTAACATGGTCTGCCACACAGCCGTTTTTAGAGTCGTCACGCAAGCGCGGAGGAGCGTTGCGTGACGACACTTAAAACGGCTGTGTAGCAGACTACGTGTGACATCACCTTTACAGAAATCGCGCCCAAATCACAGTTCTCATTTGTGATCAGAAGCCCTTTTCGGTATGTTTTCGCGCCTGCGCAAAAGCTGTCCGGAATAGTGTGAACATAGCCTTAGTCGCGGACTGATCAACACTTCACTGTATCTATCTAAACCATGTTGTTATTTTTTAGAGGTGGAACAGCTACCACCGGCATGTGTGCATGATGCACACAGTATTCACTAACGCTACCAAAGAACTTCCGTTGAATCTTTCCCACGCCGCGGGCTCCAACCACCAGTAAATGCGCTTTTTCATCTGCCGCGAGTTTACAGATAACTTCCCCAGGGCTGTTGCTTCTTTCATTGTACAGTTTGTAATTTATCTGCAAGTTAAAAAGCAGTGGAACGTTATGTTATTGATTTTGCCCCTAGCAATTCAAATGGTTAATTGACTTCGACTAGTCCTTGCGTACTCTCATTATTCTGCACGGCCCATGCGTTTCGGGTCACGTTTTCCGAGCAAGTTTCTTTATTTCCGAGGGAGTGTCCCAGCCGTTCGTCTCGGATACGTCACCGAAATACATTGACCGAGAAGGCCTGGGAAGACGCCGTACAGGGACTAGGTAAAAGAGTCCCTAAAGTGAGCGAAAAAAAATACGCGAACGCGCGTGAAAGTCGCTGCTTGCGAGAAAGGTTACACGTGGAGGGAAGAGTGCGGATTTCTCTTTTTCCTCCACCGCCTTCCTCTGATCCTGTCATCGTGCAGAGCAATTTTCACGCGCGCGCACGCATGTTTTGCTTACTCAAGCCAGTTAATTGATTTGCGCGCGCCGTCGTCAACTGACGTTCCCTTTCTGTTGCTAAATCAGCCTTTTGACAGAGACAGACAGAGAAAACGTGCGAAATTTGCAACGTGCAATTGGCGGGAAAAACTACCAAAGGACCTTTTACCGCGCTTTTCAAAAAATTGCGAATTCTGAAGTTCAAAAGCCAGCTGACGGTCATCGTTTGGGATTTGTGATTGGTGCGATTTCGATCCGTTTTGTGTGTTTCTGTGTTTCAAGGTTCGTTGCTTGTGATCGTGATTATGATTCAATGACGGCCGCGAAAAACGCAATTGTGAAGGCGGCTTTTGAACTTTAGAGTTCGCATGTTTGTCAAAAGCGCGGTAAGATCACGTCTAAGAAATTTAAAAACGAGAACCCGAGTCGTGGTGTAGGTCTAAACATTGAATGAACGATTATTGATTACTTAATAATTAACCGGAAGTGCTATCGTTAGTAAATATCAAGTATATAACTGGAGCGTGGACTGAATTTAATGTGGAAACATGGGAAGAGATAATACTGGAAAGGAAGAATAAGTATTTGTACGTTTTTTGTGTAAGATAGTTCTGTGGTTCACAGGGAAAAGACAACTGATCGCAGAATCAAAAAATGTTCCAGGATAAAAAAACTCCCTAATACAAAACAGATCCCATACTCCAAAACACAATGACCAGACCTTCTGACGAGTCGCTTCCAGGACTGAGGATTCTGTGACGGATGCGGATTATCAGACGTGTTTTCGATACTGTGAAGAGTTTTGGATTCTGTGACTTGTTTGGATTCTTCGTTGTTTTAGATTCTGTCAAGTGTTTAAATATCTAAGACGTGTTGTGGATTAAAGGAAGCCTGTTTTGGATTCTGGGATCCGTTTCTCGAGAGTCCCGGTAACTTTTTGGGCCCGAAATCAAATATTCAACTCGAAATATAAAGAGTTAGTGGAGCGCGGGTCCTGGCTAGCAAGCTACTCCATTTTGTTTCATCAACTGATAGTTTTATCACGTTAGATACAAAACTATTGAAACCTCTGTCTTGCATGTAAACAACAACAGCTTTACGCGCCCGTTAATTATCGGGACTTTCGAGGAACGGTCCCATGGAAAGCTGTTGTTGTTCACATTGAGGATCGAGGTTTCATGAGTGTTGCAGATAATATGATAAAATTATCAGTTAACAAAACAAAATAGTCCCGCGATTTTATTTTTTTATATTTTGATTGGAATATTTGATGTAGGAACGGAAGAGTAACAGGGACTTTCGAGAAAGGGGCCCTAGGGACGTGTTTCGTTCTTACAACCACGGTGAGGTAGAATCAAGGACTATAGACGCACAATAACGTTTTTAAAGTTTCATCCCTTGGTGACGTCTTTGTGCAGGTCATATTAAAAGGAAAGAATTGCCGTAAGAAGATCAAACTGTACCAACCCCACGTTCTCTGCATTTCTTTCCGTAAGCCTCCAACAGCGCCCTCGAGTTTTTAGCAACTTTTTCCAGCGACTGCTGCCACTCCTCGTAATACCAATAGTCATCTGAAAGAGGGATACAGCATCCGTAAATCACAGAAAATTACGAAGGAAAATATTTACGCAGTCTATTCTAAACTTCGTTGTTTGTAACACAGGGTAACCAATCACAATAGGGTGCACGAGTGTACGTCAGTGAAGGTTTTTTTTGGCAAAATGCAAATTCAGATTCTTGAACCCAAAAATGGAATGTGCGTTTCTTTTCTAAAATGTAAAACTTTTGTATAAATCTAAAGAATCCTAGGTGTTCCATTTATGTCATTTTTAATAAAATTTGGAGTTAAACATGAACGGGTTTATACTTACACGAGGCGTATGGTGCAGCTGAGTGGGTTGGAATCTCTTGTGCATGGATAATAAGCAAAATGTCTTTCACATTATCAGAAATATTGTTAACATACCCTGAAAGAAAGTGAAAGAATGAACAAGGAATAAGCTTTTAAGAAGCAAAATAGTGAAAAGTTAAGGTGCAAGACCACTGCAAAAAAGAAACAGTGCGCGATCAACCTTGCTCAACGTCGCGGATCAAAAAAAATCGCAATCAGTCAAAATTAATAAAATTGTAGTCAAAAAGACAACTAGAGGACTCATCGAAGAACGTGAATGGGCTGTAATTACGATATTTCACCTGGCCAATACCAGTCTTCATCAGGTCATGAATTTAAAGAAATCAACATATGGTAGTACTACAATGTTTACAGAAGTATATATGTGTAGCACTACAATGTTTACAGAAATATACAGCTATTTGGAGAAAGGTCGGAAAAAGTGCACGCGACAATATCGAAAGGAATTGTGGGTGGTTTTGAGTTCAGTAATATTCAAAGAAATTTGAAAAAATGACATGAGAGGCCACGGACGTATGTTTGCGAGCGCTAAAAGAAAGTAAAAAAAGTAGTTTCGACAGCTACAGTGTCAGGAACAGTGTAATGATCATATCCCATGTTACCTTTCGCGATTGTCGCCGGTCTCGCGTGCACGTTTTTTGCAACAACCTTTCTCGAAATAGCTGTACAGTATACGTAGTACTACAATGGACGGAAGTAACGTCGTATGGTGTTTGAACTTTTTAAAAAAACATAAGAAGCATTTAGAAAGCAGTGCTCTCTGAAACATTTAAACAAGGAATAGAAAAAAATTGAACAGGTGACAACAGAGTAGGTCCAAAGTCGCGGTGCCTTTCACTGGCGGGAAAATAGGGGGGTATAGGAGAAGGGCGCCCCTCTTCCCCGGCATTGGGTAATATTAATGAAACTGCATTTCCCGTCGTAGTCGTGCAGAGGGACGCAGAAGAATTTAATGTACCAAAAAAGTGTGATACACGAGCAGAGTTGTTGTTTTGATTGTTGAACCCTGTATTGCTTTTTCAGTGATGTTGGGATCGCTGGACGTCGCTTGTCATCACCTTGGAATATGTTTACTCGTGATCATGATATCCTTTTAAAAAAAGTCTCTTGTGATTTTGAAATTCGGTGGAACGAACCAAATTAAATTAGGTCATTAATTTGTTTTGGGTGCATAGTTGATATGGTCAAATAGGCCAGTGCAGACCTCTTTTGTCGTAAGGTTTATACTTCCAACATTTGCAGAGGGAAAGATAAAACACGATGTGTACACGTGAACGCGATGTGCTACACGTAAACCTGCATGTTTCTTCTCTTCCGGTCTGATTCTATCACCACAGTATAGTATGCCATATACAAAGTATCGTTTCTACCTGACCCTTTGTCCACCACATATCCATAAAGTAGATAGATAGAAATAAGGAACGAAATGATAGCAAAATATCGCTACCCCGATAAATTAAAAGTTTAAATATTTTTGCTATTTTCTCCCTCTTTATAGGCTCAGATCATATCATAGTCGCGGGGGAAGGGAAGCTTTGAGTACCTCGCGACTTGATGCATTGCTTAGAAGATGGAGAAGCAGTTCACCCCCAGAATGTTTTTAGAAATAACAGACATGAGAGCAAAACTTTCTACATGGTACATTTCATCCATTTTTATTCACTCCATGAGCAAAAGTTGCTTGCACATGGCTCTATAAGCGTCCGTGGCTTGGGTCACGAATGTGGCTTTGAATAACGTATTGCCTTTATTTTAACATAATTAACATATCGTCATCGTTTAGCTATCAAGATAATTGTATTTCGCTGTGGAAAATATAAGCCTACATTTCTGGTACTAATCTCACTAATTTAAAATTTAAGAGAAGAAAATTGAAATTACGTCACGAAGGTCACGGGTGAAAAGCGTATCTAGACAGTTGTTTGTAGTTTGTTTGTAGCTTGTGTTAATTTGTTTCTCGCCTTATGGCATGAAGACGCAAGAGATTATTCCAACGTGCAAACGTTCTGTGTACGTCCGAACCCAAAAGGTAAAGAAATTTTTAAAAAGTTTTCTTTGAAGTGGAATACTAAGATATATTTTTTCCTTTTGATCATAGTTACGTACTTACAGTCAAAAGCTCGTTCGCTGTGTTCGCTGTCATCCACTCCGAGCACTACTCTCCTCTGTAATTCGCTATCAGGCCTCATTGTGAGTACGTGGCCAGAAAACGAATGAACGAGTGGAAGGATATTAAGCGAAACTGTGAGAGAAAAAAATGCCGCTGCGTTTAAAAAGTCACGCAACTGTGTGATTGGTGCGTGATCTTTCTTAACGCGCACGTGGACATGGTTAATATTGTGACGTCATGGACCCAAAAAAGTTCTACTCCATGATTATTTCCACGTTTCTATCTATTCAAGAGCCATGTTCATGATCAAGTCTAATTTTACAGTTCGTTTCTAGAAAATCTCTTTACGGAGACGCAGAGGTAAGTTGAATTTTCAACCAAAAAATCCATCCAATTCGTTCGAAGCTTTTGTAAACGATGAAAAAGATTTGAGAGACTGAACACTCAGATGGTGATGGGGAGAAAACAACTTCAAAAGACAGGCCAAAAAATAATTTAAAAAATAGAGAAATTAGACAGGCGATGCTTTGGATTTGCCTTGATTGCTAAAACAGAGCTCATAGCTCGTGATAACATGCGACTCGTGAGCTGTAAAGGCCTATGGCGTGAGTTCACGCAAGCAACCCAGCCCCGCTCAACATGACTTCCCCATGATGACTGATTGCTCACGTAAAACGTTTTTAAAAAACGGTTTTTAATTTCTGGCTTAGTCTTTTTTGAGGGAAGACCTTACCCAGGAATCAGGCCTGCCCAGGAATGTTTTTTTGGAAAGTTCAGGAATTAATCGCTTTTTTTTACGTTAGTTGTGAATTTTTTTTCATCGTATACCCTGAATGACATTTGCTAGCAGTATTCCTATAGAAAAAACGAAATTTTTTGAGCTCAAACTATATTTTAAGCTACTTTTAATTATCACTTTAAATGTTGTTACAGAAGCTGCAATCAAAGTAAACGGAAAATAAAGACCCTCTCTTTCCAAATCAAGGTGGAATTCAACTTTGTTCCGCAGTGCCTTTCTCTTCACTTTGTTTCCCCAAGGCTCTGAGGATGAGGTATTGGAAGAGTGTGGGGTCAAAGAAACTGAATTCAGTGATTTTGTTTGTTTTAGTTGAATCTTTTTTTCAGAACCTCTAAGCTATTTTACCAGGGAGGATACAAAATAGTGTAAGGACTAATAACCGTGTAGCACTCTTTTCGATAGCTTTATTTTGTTAGTGCAGCATTCTATATATGTTTGTGGCGTCTACCCTTTTCAAACGTCGAACTTCACATGTGCCGAATTTAATATAATGCTTATGTGGGACATTAATTGTTTCTCGCTGGCCGTGTACCTGTAGTCGTTATGCGTTTTTAGTCAGACTAGTACCCAGTCGCTTCTTGTCTTCGCGCTATGGAAGATTTTAAGGAGTTCTCTTTCCTACCCAAACACCTGTGCGGGCATAAACACCTGTCCAGTTACTGCCAACAGGCAGAAGGAATAACTGAGTGACTACTGTGTGCGATTCCGGTTTTAAGTGATGGAAGAATCGAGAAACACGACGAATTTTCGATCATCAATATTGTAATTATTGTCATTTTTAACATTATCCAGTTTAATATTCCAGCCAAATCAAGGAAACCAGAAATATCGATCAAATATAGCCCATTATATTTGTCTCGTAAAGCTCTTTGGGGTCGTTGAATAATGGCGTCGTAGGTGCGCATGCGTCGTCCATATTTGAGACTCCGAGAGTTCCTGGGGAGCCTGGAGAGGGTGGGGGGACAACTGAGATTGGCACATCGGAGTGATGTGTGCAAAAATAACTGATACTCCCAGCGAGGGTGCGGCTGATGGGGTCTCGTCCTCGGGAACCCATCACAATGTGATCCGCGCTTTTTTCTTTGGCTAATCGGAGGATAGCTTCTCCTGGGCTGTCAGACTCCGTAAACATTCTGCACTTTATCTGAAACAAAACAAAAAGAGCAGCTCTATATTAAAATTAAAAATGGATTAAGTTCGGTCAATTTTATAATCATATTGAAACCTGCTGAACCAACTAAGAGAAAATTTCGGAAAAATAATTTACGACAATTTTGCGATTTAAAATACCCTGTATTTTTACCCTCTGGCAAAATGGTAAGAGCAGCATTCACCTCCAACCCTGGGCCCATGCTTTCCTTCCTGCGCAGCACGGAGTTTTTGGGTGTGGTTTTAGTTTGTGATTTGTACGTTTAATGAGAAAAGGAGGGGTAATGCACTTAATTTGTCAATTTATTTAGCACTAAAGCTAATTGAGGAGACTTCTTGGAGACGGGATCGTCATTTTACGTGGTCATCCGACTACGCAAAGGTCTAGCCGTTTGTAGGGTACTGAAAGGCAGTATCTTCATTTCTCAGTTATTAATTTTTTTTCCGACTTTGCTACACTTATACAAACGAACGTCTTAAAAACTGCTGCATGAGAAGCACGGTCCTACAACCGAGAGAGATGATTACCTCATCACAGTGATTAGTTCTTCCCACGTGAAAGAAATTTGGGGAACATGGCTGTGGGTGGATTAGCAAAACTGTGTGTAGTACCCGTAATAAAGGCCTCGTTCACACGTATCCAAAAAACGGAGATATTTTTCTCTGGCTTGGAGTACCGTCCTGTCCACACGTATTCGGTAAGAAACGGTCACCGAAAACGCATCTTTTTAAAAACTTTCTCCAGAGTGGAGATTTTTGAAAACGTCATTTTGCTGTACTCGTGCGTGTGGATGGGTGAAAACGGAGGGTTCTAAAAACAACTACGTCTTGATGTTGGATATCAGTAATTGCGCATGCTACCATCAAAGATGGTACTGTTTACAGCAGTCACTGTTGATTGCGTTTTCGTGTGGACGGGCAAAAACGATAAAACGCAACTTGTGGACGCGAATTATTGAAAACGGAGAACAACGGATAAATGTGAATATGGTCAAAATCTTGGCTACGACTCTCAACTTTGGGTGGATTCTTTTGCAACATACGCGTATTACCGTTGCGTTGGCCCGTAGGAATTTTTCATTGTTTAAAGGTTTGAAAACAATAACCCTTCAATGAGGGGGAAAAGTGCCGGCTATATGGGTATGCTGCAAATGAATCACCATGAATGCCAGTCTTGGGCGGGAAAAAGATAAAGATAAACTTACGTTTCTGTCTTTGCACTTTTTGAAGTATGACTGAAGAATGCGTTCAGATTCAGCAGAACTTTCCTTAACTGCTTCCTTCCAGCCATGCGGAAATGGACAACCATCTGGGTTCAAAAAAACTTGTTGTGAGGTTTACCGTACTTGCTGTTCACCCTTAGTTTACCGTATAGCGCCTGTTTTAAAAGGAGCGTGTCATGGCTGCGTCTCGCTATAGAACTCAAGGATAGCGAAGAAATTACTTAGTCAATGGAAAAATCACAGCTTCGTGTCAAACAAATACGTTTCTTAGGCATTTTTTAAATGTAACAAACAAAAATGACGATCTTGCCATTTACTATGAAAGTTTAATGAGAAGCCCAATAACTAAGGCCTTAGTAACGATAGAAATTGTAAAAGCGACTCGAAACAATCTCAAAGACAACGTTCAAGTGACAAGGAGATTGACAATTAAAGCAATAAAGGAAACCAGTCTCTGGGCATCGCTCAAGTTTTACAGTCTGCAACCCATAAAAGATATTACTCAACCACGAGCTGTAGATGGTTTTCACTGTGACGACATCAAATTGTAAGGTCAAAATAGCGAGGTTTTACGAATTCTTATTTACACTAGGTTGAAGATAAACAAAAATTAAATCTTTGTACAAGTTCCTTTTTCTGTAGCATGTTTCATTTCGAAAATACAGCAATTTGAACTTCCGAGTTTTCACGGTGCGTGACACTAAAATAGGAATGCTATGTCGTTGAAAAAAAGTCTCTCCTCTTGATTTTCAGCAGTATAACCACTTGAAGTACTAGAAGATATGTTTATGCGTACGTATGCTAGTTCTCGAGTGAAAAGAAAGCGCCTTTTATATAGAAAAAGTGAATAGGCTCCAGATGTTTTTGTTGATTTCCGGCGGCCATATTGGTGCACCAAAACGGTGCACCAATATGGCATCTGCCTTTTTCGTCTTTTTCACCTACGAGTCCCCCGTGCTTTTCGGGGGGAGGGGGGGGGGGGTGTTTTTTTGTTAGTTGTGTATTAGTTCTCTGAAGAGGAAAGTACGGGTTTTTTTAATAGAAAAAGTAAAGGTGCCCCTTGTTTTTTTGTTTGTTTCGGCGGGCCATTTTGGGTCCACAAAACGGTGCACCAAAGTGGTTTTTGCTTTTTTTCTTTTTTTCACCCCGGTTTCCCCCTTGCTTTTGGGGGGGGGGGGGGGGGGGGAGGAATATTGCATTTCACATCCATTTTTTTTTCTCCCATAATTTCTTAGCCAATCTAGTTCTTCAATTTACCTGACTATCGTTTCAGCACGGTCCAAAAATTGAAAATACTTTGATAAAGTCGTGTCACGTGTGGCACTGGAAAATAAGCGCGAAATATACGTCACTTACATGAATATGGCGCGGTGGTTTGTGGCAAGTCATTTGCATTCAGCAGAATCACCTCGTTGCCAGATTGGTGCATATTATTACAGTACCCTAAAGATATGGAAAAAGTTATTTTATAACTTAAGACAGCAGATGTAAAGAAGACAGTTTTTCTTCAACTCTCGGGATTTTCTGCGCGCGAGTCCTTGCGCGAGTCACTTCAAACAGACGCAATGAGTATTCTGGTGGGCTACGCTTGTATTCTCCCCTATCCCCACCCCCTTGCCATTATAAGTCCATTCTCTTCCGATCCCTGCCTTGACCTGCCCTCCTCAACTCCCATCATTCTATCTATTCAATCTGAAAAAATATTGTTGGTCCTCTCCTCTAAATCCCTGAAAATTACCGCTGCATGGAGGAAAATGGCAATTAAATTTGTTTACCTCCTGTAGTTGGACAAGTTTCATCAACAAAGCTAAAATTAAATCTACTTTTAATAATATGCCACCCTTGACACCCTTCGGGAAATTTCCTATTGCAGAAATCTAGGTGGGTGATCAAGATGGTTTTATTTACTTGGTTGATATTAAGCGTTTGTGCTAAAATTTCGGTTTTAGATGCCCAGAAGAAAGAGGAAGATTTCGATCTTTGGCGCTTGCCCAATCGGTAGTTTTGGAGCGCATAGATCAGTTGTGAAAAATAGGTTTTATCACGGTATAGATATCAAATCACACTTACACTGAAATGCTCGTTCGCTTCTCTCACTGCCATCTACGGGTATTAAAACTGTTTTTCCCTTTTCTTCGTTTTGAGAAGTAGTCGACATTTTGTAAACGGAAAGGGGTAAGAAAAGCAAACTGGGATTCCGTGCCAGGAGATATTGGTGCTTTTCACGTTAA